CCGCCACCGTTGCCGCGCGCGCCTCCTCCAGAGCGCCACCGGTAGCGTCCGCGCTGTCTGGCTGCCGCCACGCGCGTGGCGGCGTCTTGGCGCATCATCGCGCCGCCAGCGCTCGCCAAGGCGTCCCTCTCTAGCAGCTCGAGGTCGCGTCGGCGTGTGTCGTCGGCAGAAATGGAGCTGCCGATCTTTGCCTGAAACCTCGACCTCCGTTGCCGCCGCCGCCAGACGCTGCATTGCGATTCGCCGCCGCCGCCGCCCGCTTCTGGCTGCTTTGCCAGCTCGCGCATTGCCGACCTCGGCATACCGCCGCGCTTTGCGGCCAATCTGCCGCCCGCTCGCTCTCGCGTTCCTCTGCCGCGGCAAGTTGAAGCCTCTCGCCGACGCCAAGGCGTGCTCGAGGCGACCGAAGGCCGAGATCGCCTGCGGACATGACGCGCCACTGGGGACTGCTGCGTGGGGGAGAGGCTGCCTGACGAGTTGCTCGTCTGCGCGTGGGGGGAGTGAGCAGAGCGGCCGGGAGCTTTGCTGCACTGAAATTTGTTGTGTGGTGGGAGGGAGATGAGCAGGAGATGCTCGAGCTCTGAGGATAATCTGGCTCGATACTGGGTTGTTAGTGTTGAATTCTCACTCTTGGTAGTAGGAGAATTCTTACTCTCATCGAGATAGGATGACACTAGGAGTTGGGGTAATTTTCTTGTCTATTTCTTACTCAAATGCCATGCCAACCTGAGGGGTTGAGGTTACATATTCATAGGCTGCTAGCCAGCCAAGCATATGCCAAGATGCTAGTCTAAGATGCTAGTCTAAGATGCTAATATGCTGTCCTCTAGTCTAAGATGCTGTCCTCTAAGATGCTGTCCTGCTGTCCTCTAGTCTAAGATGCTGTCCTAAAAGCAGAAAAACAGCCACAAGGACCATGTGAGCAGTACAGCCCCACAAAGACCACACATGAGACTTATCCATCAGTAAAAGTGTAAATGCATCATAGAGTTTAGTGTCAAATAATCATATCTTGACAGATCAGCAAGTAAGTTACACTAGAGTACTACACCATTCTAAACAATGATACCAAAATAACAATTTCCTATCTCAGTAGGAGTGTAAACACATCATAGTGGGAAACAGTTCAAGAAAATTAACAAACTCTGATATGCGGATAAATGGTATTGGTAGCAATCAGCACAATATGGCAACTCCAGTAAAAAGTACTCCCTCCGTCCCAAAATAAGTCTCCATCTCGCATTTCAAGGTGTCAAACAATCTCAATTTTGACCGATATATACAAAAAAAAGTACTAATATTTGTGATACTCGATAAACATCATTAGGTTAATTACAACATATATTTTCATAGTAAACCTATTTGGATTTTGGAGATACAAATTTTGATACTATTTTCTATAGACTTCGTAAAAGTTGAGATTGGTTGTCTATTCAAAATGCGAGTTGGAGACTTATTTTGGGAACTCCGCCTATGTTGTCTCAACATAGCAGGTCCCAAGCCCTGATAAAGGAGGAGGGTTGTGATAGGCATGGCGAACCAACGTTAAATCTAGTCATTCTAATGGAGATGAAACCCGAAAGAAAACCGTGGGGCGTAACCCTCTTAGCGACGCGCCATATCAGAACCCGGGTATGGTGTTAAATGGGCAAGGGCCGGGTCGGCACCCCCTTGATGACGCGTCGTGTCGCGATCTGGGCATGGTGTCAAGTGAGCAAGGATCGGGTCGTCGCTTCCTTAGTGGCGTGCTACATCGGCGCCCCGGTGTAGTGAAAAATGAGCAAGAGTCTTCACATCTAAGTCGACGGGTGCGAAGGGTAAGGAAGCTAGTCGAACCAACTAGGATCCGTTTAGGTAGTTGGAATGTAAGGTCACTTAGAGGTAAGTTAAGAGAATTAGTTGATACCACGATTAGGAGGCGTGTAAATATATTATGCATTCAAGAGACTAAATGAAAGGGTCAGAAGGTGAAGGAGGTGGACAATACAGGTTTCAAGCTTTGGTATACAGGGACAGTCGCGAATAGAAATGGAGTAGGAGTTTTGATTGATAAGAGCCTCAAGAATGATGTGGTGGGAGTGAGAAGGCAAGGAGATAGAATTATCTTAGTCAAGCTTGTCGTTGGTGATATGGTCTTGAACGTAATTAGTGCGTATGCCCCCCAAGTAGGCCTCGACGAGAGTGCTAACAAACAGTTCTGGGAAGACTTAGATGGCCTTATTAGAGCTGTACCTAGTAGTGAGAAGCTTTTTATAGGAGGAGATCTTAATGGGCATATAGGTACTACAAGCGCGGGTTTCGAGGAAGTTCATGGAAGTTTTGGGTATGGTAGTAGGAATCAGGAGGGGGAGGAAGTTCTAGACTTCGCGGTAGCTTTTGACCTGATGATAGCCAACACTTTCTTTAGAAAGAAAGAATCTCATCTAGTGACCTTCAATAGCGGATAACACTTTAGCCAGATTGACTTTGTCCTCGCAAGAAGAAAGGACAAACAAGCATGCTTGGGTTGCAAGGTGATACCAGGGGAGTGTGTTGTTTCTCAACATAAGCTTTTAGTGGCAAACTTTCGTTTTCAGGTGCGTGCCCGTAGGAATAAACAAGCTAAGATTGAATGAACAAAGTGGTGGAAACTGAAAGGGGGACATCAGAGGTATTCAGGGAAAAGGTTATCAAAGAGGACTCTTGGAAGAAAAAAGAGGACATAAACGACATGTGGGAGAAGATGGCAACCAATATTCGGAAGGTGGCCTCAGAGATGTGTGGAGTAACCAAAGAAAGTGGAGGCGATGCTAACGATACTTGGTGATGGAACGAGTAAGTCCAAAGGGCTATCAAGGAGAAGAAAGAATTTTATAGACGCTTGTACCATGACAGGAGTATGGACAACATAGAGAAGTACAAGGTGGCAAAGAAGACTGCAAAACGAGCTGTAAGTGTGGCAAAGGGTAGAGCGTACGAGAATCTTTACCAACATTTGAGTACGAAGGAAGGAGAGAAAGACATTTATAAGATGGCTAGGGTTCGTGAGAGAAAGACAAGAGACTTCAACCAAATTAAGTGCATTAAAGATGAAAGAGAGCATCTCTTGGTGAAGGAGGATGAGATCCGACATCGATGGCAAGAGTATTTTGATAAATTGTTCAATGGTGAGAATACGGACACAACCTTTCAGTTGGATGACTCTTTTGATGACACCAATAGGCGCTTTATGCGGAGAATCCAAGAATCTGAGGTCAGAGAGGCGTTGAAAAGGATGAAAGGAGGTAAGGCGATGAGGCCGGATGGTATCCCAATCGAGGTGTGGAGATGCCTCGGGGACATAGCTATAGTATGGCTAACCAAGCTGTTCAACCATATTTTTCGATCGAACAAGAAGAAGTATATTCGTACCGATCTACAAGAATAAAGGAGATATTCAAAGTTGTACTAATTACTGAGAAATTAAGTTGATGAGCCGTACTATGAAGCTATAGGAGAGAGTTATCGAGCATCGCTTGAGAGGAATAACGCGGGTCTCTATGAACCAATTTGGTTTTATGCCCGGAAGGTCAACCATGGAAGCCATTTTTTTAATAAGACAAGTTATGGAGCGGTATAGGGAGAAGAAGGACCTACACATGATTTTTATTGACTTGGAGAAGGCTTATGATAAAATACCAAAGAATGTTATGTGGTGGGTTTTGGACAAACATAAAGTTCCAACGAAGTACGTCGGGCTCATTAAGGACATGTACAACAATGTTGTTACTAGTGTTCGAACAAGTGATGAAGACATGGATGACTTCCCGATTATGATAGGACTACATCAAGGGTCAGCTTTGAGCCCTTATCTGTTTGCCTTAGTGATGGATGAAGTCACAAGGGGACATCCCTTGGTGTATGCTTTTCGCGGACGATGTAGTGCTAGTTGATGAAAGCCGGACATGACTGAATCAGAAACTGGAGTTATGGCGGGAGACTTTAGAGTCCAAAGGTTTTAGACTCAGTAGAGCTAAAACTGAATATATGAGATGTGACTTCGGCGCTACTACTCGGGAGGAGGAAGATATTAGTTTGGAAGGCCAAATAGTGCCTAGGAAGGATACCTTTCGATATTTAGGATCAATGCTATAGAGAGACGGGGATATTGATGAAGATGTTAGCCATAGAATCAAAGCAGGGTGGATGAAGTGGCGCCAAGCATCTGGTGTCCTATGTGACAAAAGAGTACCACAGAAGCTAAATACAAATTTTATAGGACGACGATTAGACCCGCTATGTTGTATGGTGCAGAATGTTGGCCTACGAAAAGACAACATGTTCAATAGATAAGTGTCGCGGAAATACGTATGTTGCGTTGGATTTGCGGTCATACAAGAAGAGATCGAGTTCGAAACGATAATATACGTGATAGATTAGGGGTAGGACCAATTGAAGAAAAGCTTGTCCAACACCGGTTGAGATGGTTTGGACATGTCCAACGGAGACCTCCAGAGGCACCGGTGCGCAGTGGAATCCTAAGCCAGGATAGTAACGTGAAGAGAGGCAGAGGAAGACCGAAGTTGACTTGGGTAGAGGCAATAAAAGGAGACTTGAAATGATGAAACATACCCAAAGACTTAGCCTTAGATAGGAGTGCTTGGAAAACAGCTATTCACGTGCCTGAACCTTGATTGCTTCTGCTGGGTTTCAACTCTAGCCTACTCCAACTTGTTTGGGACTTAAAGGCTTTTTTGTTGTTGTTGTAGACTTATTTTGGGACGGAGTGAGTATGAGTGTACTAGAAGTCTAGAACAGGTGCAGCTGAATATTTTCTTATGACAAACAATATCTTTATGAATACATAAATAGGTCAATAATGGTACTGCATAGTAGATTTGTCTCAGAAAATACTTTCCTACTGTCACAATTTTATTAGATTCTACAGATATATCACAATAAATTGGCAACCCAAATGATGTTAAAGAGAACATTTCAGTGTCCAAAATGAACTTACGTCCCATGACTAGTTGGAGTAATACCTGAAGGTCAGAAGGTATTGGGTCAAAAGATAAGCGATTGCCAAATCCTATAAAGTGAACAACTCTGTTTCTCAGTAAAATTGGCAGTATTTTTTTCACGTATAAACTGGGCTTTGCCTCTTTCATGACATCTGTATCATTAACCTGCAGAGGAAAAGTTAAACAATAATGAATTACAAATTTATCTTTCTAACAATGTACTTTCTATAACTGACAAAACTGAGGTTAGTTACTTACAAGGCTACCGATTGCCTCCAAGTCTAATGACTGCAGCTCTACTGGAAGATCCTTTACAATCTGAATATCAGATTTCAGATATTTGATAAAATAATCCTCCTGATATATATCGCCAAACTGACTAAGATATTGAACTCAATTTGTCATTTATGGAGAATATAATAATCAGTTATTGAAATAAGCTATCTGAAACATTAAACGTAAGTTGTATTTAAAAAATGTGTACCTTTTGTCCAGCCACACATTACTGTACAAGAATTTTGGGAGGACAAGAGTTGCATTGAGCAACCGCGAGATTGTAACTGCATTACAAATCTGTTAAACAGAAGAAGGAAAAAGAAGATTGAAATCAATGGCATAACTGCAAAACCAATTCACGCACCAAAAAAATGAATTACTTCTCCAAGCAGATTTGCTAAGATTGCCAGCAATGTTAAGGATGTTCGTAGATTACTGAACTACTCACCGCAACCCTTTGCTGGTTTATGCCACCATTCGCACTGATCATGATGTAGCCTTTGGTTCCCTCTTCAATTACGAAGAATAGATGTCAAAGAAACAAGGCACTGGATCAAACATATGCTAGAAATATGAAAAATAAACCAATGCCGCTATCAAGATAAATGCACACCGATAACATCGAGAAACATAAATCAGCAACTACCTGAGGCTTTCCAATCCCTTTGGTCAGAACACGGTCTCCACATAGTAGCATTTATCGGCTCTTCCCACAAATCCTTAGGTTCAGGCCTGGTCTCTGCCTAGGTAATTAGCATTACACATTATGTCATTACCAAACACATATTTCAACGTGCATGTATGTGCAATATATGGCCAGTTTAGAATATGTAAAGAGCATGTAGCTGCCTTTATTAATGTTACCTCTGCCAAAGCATGGCCTGCCAAAGCAAGCAACCGGGTGAGCATAACCCTATGTGCCCTCTTCCCCTTAGCAGCACCAGCCACCTCTTCCTTAAAACATTTCAGTAATAAAAACCATGCATTAGAAATAATGTACATAAACACCAAAAGCGGGCAACGGTTGCCATGGCAACCAAGAATTACATTATCATAATACAGTACTCTATCCATTTCTTTTAATAAGGCAAATTAGGATATGAGGAAGTCTTTCAAGGTATACTTTGACCATTAATTTAAAGGGGCGTACCCAGTGCAGAGAGTTCCCGCTCTGTGCGGGGTCTGGGGAAGGGTGTTAGTGGCAAGTCTTACCCTCGCCTGTGCAATGTGAGGAGACCGCGACTCGAACACGGGACCTTCCGGTCACAGACGGTAAGACTCTACCGCTTGCAACAGGCCCGCCCTTCATTTTGACCATTAATTTACCGTACAATATATTATCAGTTACTATAAAACCCAGACCATACTAAAAGACAAGTGAAGTATGAATCTATTGATGCATCTGCTCTAAACATGCAAATGTTCTGGAAAATGGAAGGTCAAAATAATATTTAACTTTGTTTTATTCTAATATGCCCAACACTTTGAAATGGAGCGAGTATGGCTTTAGCCTTTAGGTGCAAGATAACATCATAATAGCATGCCTTGAAGACTTTGTTAATGCTACTGGAGACTTAGCCTGAATTAAATTATTAAAAGCTAGATGTAGAATTACAAAATTGCAACTGAACAATAGAGCAGTACTATTTTTTATGGCTGTTGACTACAAATTAGCACAGCTTAAGAACACTCCTGCTCTCCCCCAGCGCAAAATAACTTAAAAACCAAGGGAGATTCAGAAGTGGAAGTAAGAAATGGCACAACCACTCTCTTGGCTAAGCTAACCTTTTGAAATTGGTAGCTACGGAGTCATCACCCTATATCAATATCACTCGCCCCAGCAAACTAATCACATCAACCTCACCGGATGATAGCTACTAGACACTCATTAGTCAGTAAAGGAGGCCAACCATGGCATTACCAGAGTCAAGAGCGACGAATTGGTAGTGGCGGGCGCGCGGGGCGGGTGGCGCCTCAGCCGGAAGTGCGGGCGCGCCGAGGGGTCCTGAAGTCGGGAGAACATCCACCAGTTCATGATGAAGAAGGCCACGAGGGCGCCCCAGACCAGCAACCTGCGAGGGCGCCGCCACCCCCTCCGCTGCTGCTGCCGCCGCCGCCTCGCCCGCGGCAGCGCGGCGGACGCCGGGGAGCTCGCCGCCGCCAGGAGCGGCAGCGGCGGGGGCGCCGCCGCCTCGGGCATTCCAGCGCTGGATTTGGATCTCGACAAGCGGGGGTTCGGTGGGAAGCGAGCAGAGGAACACGAGATGCCGGGTGGCTCGTCGGATCCTGCGATCGCCGCGCGATTAGTTTAAGCTGCAGTTTCATGGAGAGGTTAATTTTTTATTCGTGTGTGCGGCGTGAGCTCGGCAGATCGGAGCAGAGGTAGATAGTCGGTGGGCGGGGCGGGAGTGGCAAGGAAGGGAGGGAGCCGGGCAGCCGGCGAGCCGCGGTCGGTCTCGGTCATGCGCGGCGCGCGTGCGATTTTGGTGTCCACTGGACTCAAGAATTTTTAGAATTGCAAGTGTCAGCTGTCAGGTGAATGTATGCTGCAGTGTCTGTCCAAGGCAGTAAAATACATTCTTTTTTTATTTCTAGTCCCTAAATTTATTCTGGACTTGGTATTAGTTCAAATGTGTCTCATACCCGCTCCATACGCCAATATGGCATGTTGATTCAGTACTAACAAGAATTTGACATATATTGAGTTCAATATTTAAACTTACATAGCGATGCCATTTATATCCTAAACTTCTAAAATTACATATTCGGATCCTCAAACTTAATAATTGGGCAACACAAGATAAAACATGCATGACGGTAACTTCTAAGTTCCTAACTTCAAAAACTGTATATCCAAACCTCCAAACTTGCTAATCAGGACATATAGGTCCCACATGTCGTCCCTCGTTCTCATCTTCTTCCCCATTCCCTCCATGTTGCCGCCATCACTCTCTCTCTCTCTCTTGTGCCACCGTAGCCCGAGCACTAGCACCAACAACAACTGGAGCACCTCTAAGCAGTAGAAACAGCACCACCACTATGATAAAAAGCGATGATGGACGATCTCTACACGCTCCCACCTATCCTCCACACGCCTGTCGAGCTTGGCCATGACCAAGGCCCCCGGTGGCCATCCATGGGCGAGCTAGGCTTCTCGCCCCTAGCTCTAGCGATGGCCAGATCCACGCTACGGTAGGATCTTGATGTATAGTGTTGTCCAAACACCACTAGACCAAGGGTAGGGAGCGTTGTTGGGATTGGGAAGAGGAAGTGGAGAAGGAGATGAGAGGGGGGGATGACATGTGGGCCTGCACAGGAGGGATTGAAAGTAGATGAGATATAAATGGCATGTGGACCCACATGCTAGGTGCACTAGTTAGCATCCACACAGGTGGTTTATCGGAAATAATCATAATTTAGACATCATGTGGCCCAAGCAGTAAGTTAAGGACCTGGATCTATATTTTTAAAAGTTCGAGACCTCAATGGCACTGTCGTTCATTTAGCAAGTTTAGGGACCTATAGATGTGTAGTTTTGGAAGTTTGAGATCTAGATGGCACCACCATGCAAGTTAGATATATACTAGACCCACCATGTTAGATCCATGTGAACACTGGAGTTTGCATGACATGTGAGTGTATGCAGTGGGTCAACCAATTTGAGCTAGTACCGGACCCATGGCAAGTTTAGGGACCTAAAAATAGAAAAAAAATGAAAGTTTGGGATCTGGATGACACCGTCTCCCAAGTTTAGGGACCGTCGATATATTTTATGCTTGTCCTATGCCTATATAGAGCTAGAGAGATAAAGGGCATGCTTGATTTCTTTGCTAGAAACTGGATTTCCTTGCCCAGCTAGGATAGGGAGCATTGCCTGAATGATGAGCAAGATTTTCTTAGAATAGATAAGATTTGGACGTCTTTGAACTTAGGGCCTATTTAGATCCCCTAGAGGTAACAACTAGCCGCTAAAATTTAGCTGAGGTTTCATTTAGGTCCCCAGCTAATTGTCTAGTTAGTGTCCTACCTATCACCTAGCTAACAATTAGCTATTAGCTGATTTCCTCTAACTAACGCTACTAATAGTTAGTTGAGGGGATCCAAACTGGACCTTACAAGCGCAAGCGAGCAGAATTAGCTTTCCTAGACTGGCAAGGCAAAACTTATTCACACACGCAAGCAATCAAAGCTATGAGGCATGCCCAAAGGCAACAGCAAAAGAATGGAGGATGAGAGAGACTCCACGTTAGGGGCAATATTGATGTATAGTGAATTACCCACCTAACAATGTAACTTAAGTTTTTGCGTTGGAGTGGCTGGTGCATATAAGGGCAACCACAATATATATGAAATAAGTAGTCCATATATGTAGAACCACACAAGTAGTCCATAGTTAGTATTATTTTCTCCACAATGTTCAACCAAGGAGTAGTATATAAGGTAAGTCCCTAGAAATTAAAGATAAATCCATTCGGCCATCTCCCTAGCCTCCTATTTCTCTCTCCCTCGATTCCATGCCTCGGTCTCTCCCTTTCACCGTCATTGTTCATCTTCCCCACCCTCGGATGCCCGATGCCACTGCCCATGTCCGGAGATATGCCGCCCCTGTCTCCGCAAGGATGCTCGGGCACCACTGTCGTCCCTGTCCCGAGGGACGCTGTCCCTACTCGGAGGAAAGCTGCCTAGATGCCGCTCGGAGGAAAGCCGCTCAGAAGCCACCGCCTCTACTCGGAGGGAAGCCGCCTCGCCCCCAACCAGACTCCACCGCCCTGTCCGGATATCACCGTTCAAAAGTTTATGGATATCTTTTATTATGGATCACTCTATGGACTGGTCTCATATTATTTTAGCTATCTGGTGGGGATTAATTTAATTTCTATAGACTGCTTTTGAATAATATTGTGGTAGCTCTAATTCAATGCTCATATTTGTTGGGTTTAACGGCTCTATTTTTTTATGTCCTATGGTGACTTTGTTAAGCTTAACATATGCCGGCTCATTGCTCTTATACCAATAGGGTATGTCTGTTCGTTCATTTATAAATATGCATTTACAAATATGTGAATATATGTGTCTGTGCTATGACTATGATGAAAAGAAAATTACAGAGGTACGTAAATTCTCCACCAACCACACACGTTTCAGGGCAGACAAAAGAGGCAGCTAGAAAGAAGGTCCATCTCACATCTCAGTGAAGTGATCTCCACGTCGGCCAGCACCTGGAGACCGTTTTGGGAAAGTGTGCGCGATGCTGTCCCTGCTTTTGTCATCTCACTTATCGTATCTTTATCGAGTAAAGTAACCCAGCGCTCCGTGTGTACAAATGGCATCTGATCCGGGGGTTGATAACTAATCAGGTTTCTGCTATGATGCACCTGGAAAAATTTCTACTAAATTTCCAGAAAGTAATACTTTTCTTGGCCAATGTCGACACTTCATCTTTACTTTAAGGTCAAATCCTAGTGCTAATTTCATTCTTAATAATAAAGTAGATGCCATATAGATGGAATCATAACTGAAGACATGCATTAGAGTTACGAAGAACAGATAGAAATAGAAAGAGGTTTCATCCATATGAACAGGGCCCGAGCAAAGATTATACAAAAGAAAGCTGAATATCATAGAAAGAACACTAAATATTATAGAGAAAAAAGAACAAAATTAATTAGCTATTGGTCTCTAACCTTTATCTGATCATTCTAATTCCTGGACAAAAAACGAATCACAACAATAACATAACATAAAAGACTAATAGTAAACAATATAGATGTCATTGGAGATCAATTCAGAGATGGTCCAGCTACGACTGTTTTAGGTCGACCTCCTTCGGCGCTCGGTAGAAACGCGTTGTCTGTATGTTCAATGATATGCAAATCTTTTGCGTATTCAAAAAAAAGAGATCAATTCAGAGAGAGCAAACAAACAAAACAATAACTACAAACTAGCTAATAATTAGAGGGTGTATTGTAGGACGAACAAGATATTTGTTAGGCAATAATAAAAAGAACAAAAGAGATGGAAAGAATAATAGAAATACCTAATTCTTAAAACAAAAATAATAACATTAACTAGTTAATTAAACTATTAAATAGCTAATGGAGGGGGTGGTTGGGAGGGGCGTGGGGTTGGGGAGGGGCATAGTCGGGAGTATAGCTAGGCATGCAGCCCGAGGCACGACGGCACAGCACGAAGCCTGTTTTTTAGCCCGACACGATCACGACACGGCCCAGTGACATGCGGGCCTAGGCTAGCCCGGCCCGAGGGTGCAGGGCGTGACTAGGCCATTGGCTTTCAGGCCGTGGTGGGCTGGCAGACGCCCGCTTTGCGGCGTCGGCCCGACAATGCCCCGGCCACCCTCCCCTCCTCACTCCACCTCCCTCCTCATGAGTCCAAAGACCGCTGCCCACCCCCCACCGTCCCCGCCTCCCCCCTCCTCAGTCCTCATATATAAGCGGAGCCAGACGCGCATGTGGCCAGTGGTGGCTCTCCCCCGCGTAGCCCCACGCCCCCACGCTCCCACCCCCGGCCCCGAACCCTAACTCCCTTCCTCTCCCCCTCCCCGCCGCCTTGTGCAATCCTCCTCTCCCCCACGCCCGCACGGCCGCACCCCTCCTCTCCCCCACGCCGTCGCGCGGCCGCACCCGCACCCCTCCTCTCTGTCGCGCGTGGCACACCACTCGGCTGCACCCGCACCCTAGAAGCGTCGCCACCTGCGTGCCCCTACGGCCCTACCTCCTGTTGCCGCACGCGGCAGTCGACGTCGGGTGCGGCCGGATCCGCCACGGCCCTCTTCCTCGTCTTCACCCCTACGCCTCTGGAAGCCGGCGACCCCGTGGGGCAGATCTGCGGGAACAGATCCAGCGGCTCGCCGCCACGCTCCCCCACGAACGCCTCCTCGTCTGGGAAGCTCTTCGCAATGGCCACCATCGGCGAGGTCCCCGACACCGTCTACGGGCTCGCGCTCTGCCGTGGTGACACCGACTCCTCCTACAGGGCCTGCGTCCCCACTGTCTTCTACGACTCCTGCCTTGTCCGCTACTCCGACCAGAACTTACTCTCCATATCCTTCTCTTCTCGCCGGATCCGGCATCGAGCGCCGCCACCGCCTCCCACCTCTCTCAGCCAGCGCCGCCCCTTCGCCACCCACGCCTAGCCTGGAGGCAACGACGACTCCTCTGTTCCCCTCTTGTCGGGCTGCTG